TATATAATGCGTTTTCGTTCCGAGAATTCGATTCTACAGTTTTATAAATAAGGATGCTTTGCAGCGCATGTAATCTGCAATAACTATTTACAAACACCATTTATATTTGATGCCTGTAAATAGTCTTCTTACTGTATCAGGCTCTAGGAGGTAACGGTATTTCTGCTACATTGCATACTTCAATAGGTGCTTTATAGAGTCGCTTTATGTACTTAGGACAGTCACTACAGACAGTTTACCTTAGCAGGCACAAGCATGGCATTGCTGAGGTTTATTGGCTGTCCATTTGGCGTGAGCACTCCCAGGGGAGCTTGATGCTGGGAGCGAGCCTTGAACACCCACAACTCGCTCTTTTCGACCAAGAGGCGCAATTCATCTAGATCGAGCTTTATTTGGTTGTAATTCTTTACATCCTGATCTGACACAAGCAGCTGGACCTGTTTAAATGCCTGTAGCACCTCTTGACGTTGGCTGAAGTGACGGAAGAGTAAGCGCAGGGCTCCGCTCACTAGCGGGGGATAGTCATGCATCGTGAGGTGAAGCAGGACCTAAGGATTGCACAACCATGAAAAAACTCAGCCTGTTATTAGTTTTTCGGCAAAAGAAGAGCTTATTTCTCTTTAACACAAGAAATATCCGAAGCAGAAAACGTATTAAGCACAACCTACTTCTGGAAGGTATGCAAACACCCGAGCAGAGTTTGATTTGAAGATTACCCTGAGAAATGTGCGTCCGCCTTTTCCATCCAGATCCACTTCTGTCGTATCCGCTGGACCTCCAAAGATGGCCTCGGCCTCCTTTGCTATTTTGGGCATATCCAAGCCTTTATCACCAATTGTCAGAGTGTCGTCCGCCGTATTCTTGTCATTTTTATCGTGTGAATCGTCGAATTCACGTTTGAAGATCGTCAACAAACCCGTAATCCTGGAAACGCACAACGAAACAAAAAGAGGCTCAATTAGTCCGACAGAAATCGCAAAACCTGGTTCAAATTCACACATTAGAACGAGAGTGATTCACACCTCGCCATGCTATTAGTAACCTAAAAATATTCACACGTAAATTTAACACTAACTTTGCTTGAGTGTCCCTTAAAGTGCATTTGTTTATACATAAAAACACAATAGTGACATCTACTCCTTGCCTGTAATCTAGTCTGACATCGAGGATGAACGAGAGTATTTCAATGATTTTTAATTTCGTATCCATCACAAGTGTATCCTTTGAAGACGGTTGTAGTGCACCTATAGCTGAAGGAGTTACGCCCATTGGAGAATTCGTTTTCGAGTTAGCGAGGTTGCTGTTTAGCAGGGATATCGAATCCAGGTTGGAGTTTTGCTCTACGATGAAAGAAAACATAATTCAATAGGTGAATTAAACGAAACGTTAAGGTATATGAGGACCAAATATTAGACAAAGCAGAAATATTTTACTCTTGTCTATATCCAATTAGTTAAACTTTCCATCACTGCTAAAGGCATATAATTAATAAGTATTGCAACTACAATCCCATTATTAAAGTGTTCCTTATCGAGTAAGTTATTTGATGTTTACAAATAGGTGGATTAGTTATAACAAGCTGGGATTACAATGTAAATAGACATTTTTTGATGGTAATTTCAGATTAATTACGAAAACTTTAATTGATACCAAAACAATGGGTGCAAATGAAGTTGAAGTTTTAGGAGAAATAAAGGAAAATCCTTCTCCTGCTTAGATATATTTCATTATATACCAAATCAGTATCTTAAAGAAAAGATTCGCGTCAGACAGGTTCCACCAATCACTTTGATTGGCTAAAATTCGCAATTTATGTTAGCACCAGCTTCTAGCTGGCGGAAAACATCTACCAACGACAATGATTAGTTTACAGGTTCGATAATAAATTAAAAGCGTGCAAAAAAGCCGTTTTCGATGATCTCAGTATTTTAATGCAGAAGTTAGAAGTTGTTTTGTAAAAAAGATCATCTATGCTATTTAATTGGCTCATTGTCATATGTACTAACGGTCAGTCTTATTAGACTTTTTTTTTAAAATAGAATTTTATCTTAATTTTTTACTTAATACCATAAGATGCAAATAGTGGCCGCGGGCTATTCTCTATTTAATCGAGCTTTCAATGAGCCCTAAGCATACTACTTTACCTACTGTTAAGTGCGAACTTATAAGTGGAACTCTTTCTTGACTTTGATCTCGATTCAGAGTTGATGCCACACTGAGTATACATCTATTACATGGAGCACGCTCGTAACTGGCGTAAACAAAACATATATCCGAATTTTTGTTTTCGTTTAAATATAACTTATCTCAAAATATATATAAATATACTTCGGGAGAGATAGATGTACCAGGATGGGTCGGGACTGTATTTTCAGGCACGCAGTCCAGAATGCCAAGAAGTGTTTTTGTAAGACGAAGAAGGTCGCTGAAGGAGTAAAAACCGAAATATATGAGTTCGCGAGCCAATTTAACGACTTCGTAAGTTAATTTGTTCTGCTCCCGATCGAAGAACGACCACACATGGCCGACCACATTACAGAGGTAGTCTTCTACAAACGTAATGGTCTTCTTAAATTTACGTTGCACTTCCTCCTTTTTAGTGATATCCGTATTTTTGTTTGCGTCGTAACTGCAAGTATTCATTTTCCCACAAACTGCATTAACATCAACGCTTTAACTTGGCCAACTGTGGACTGGATGAGGTTACGTTATTTATAAAGTAACACGATTATTTCACTTATATATAATATTTTATTTATGTTCTTACGTGTTTATTATACGTACATCGAAAGAGAATAGGAAAAATGATTTATGATGAGACTTATATAGCTGTGACGAATATCTAGCCACCAAGATTATCCATATGCATGCGCAAGTAATAGAAGTAGCTCGAAAATTACAAAATTGTACTCTGCTTGGAAATAGCAGCGTATGTACTAATGACAAAAAAAATAACGCGAGAAATGAGCGTGGTAACGAGGCACAAGTGGTAATACAGGGGATCAACGCGACTCACTCTTGAATGGAAAGCTGTTTGGGGATATCGCTCCACAACCGTGCGTACTTAACGGGCTGGATCTGCTCTTGCGGATCCCTGTCGACGTGCATGTGCAGCATGAGTCGGCAGAAGGCCGCCCGCAAGTCGTACGGAAGATTTTCATCCGCCATGCATTTCTAAATTTCAGTCCCGAACGTAATAAGGAGTAGATGTTAATTCAGGTACGACTAGTAAGCCTCCGAATCCTTGGTCGTTCCTAACAGCACTTGCCTTGTGATATGTGCTTATACAGTCTTTCATAACCACAATTGTTGTCCTAGGTAGTCACTACATTTGACTTTTCCCGTTATATTTAAATGACATAAGTCTATATCAATTGGTGGGCTATTGAATAGAATAAATAAGTGCCCACTACATACCTGAATAAGGTCGATATCGAGAATATGCGACAGTCTATTAATAGCGAGATATTGTCTATCGAGACACATTCCCGAAAAGAGATCAAGTTGATGACGGTAGTATTCGAGAATGCGAGCATCCTCGGCGCCTTCAGGATGAGCTCCAGAATTCTGTAGATATTCTTTAGCTGCCTGTGCTAGCGGTACAATGCCTTTACTTTTCTCGCCCTTGTCCCATGTCAAATAGACTTCGTCATCTTCTTCAACAGTGAGCAGGGGCTCTAGGTTGCGGCGGGATTCTACAGCCAACTCCACTTCTACTTGGTTCCGAATTAGTCTGAAGATTGTACCACCATTGAAAACTATATATTGTATATATAGTTTTATATATATATATATATTGTGCTACTATAATATCGGCATTTTAAGCTATAAGGCGCCCGTCCTTTGTTAAGCCCTGACACGTGAGACGTAAGACGTTAACCCAACTCGCAATATATTCAGAAGGCGTCTTTAATAGAGCTGAAAATGTTTACTTTCTTGCATGGTTACATTATTTATGCTAGACAGTACGAACCACTACGCCAACGCTGTGTCAGGGCAAAAATAAAAAAAAAAGGCAAAATTAATTCAAATAGACTTTTCTTGCCTGGTCTCGATAAGAATGTCCGAGTTTTCGTCGCTGAGGACGCTCTTGCAAATTAACTCTTGTGTGACCGGTATCGCGACCCGTTTGGAAATGCAAAGATCGGAAAGGTAATCAAGAAAGCGAGATTCGCGGTTCTTGCGTACAAGTGATACGAACGTCTCGATCTCTGATGCGCCAATGTGCTTTTCAAGCAGCTTACGATTTGAGTGTAGCAGCGCTGTGATTGTATCCTCGGCAAGGACGTCATAGCCGATCTGTTTCTGCATAAAGCCGAACCATTTGGCGATGTATTCTTGATTTTTACGGTACTCCTGTTGTGATAGTCGAAGCACCCGATAGCATAGACGGCAGATGTATTTGTACGATGCGTGACGAGGGTCGGCCAACTCGTCCATGCGAAGCATTGGTCCACCTGCAAGAACAGCTTACTCACTACATATGGTCGGTTTTCAGGTACAGTATGCCTTATGTATTTATGCAGAGACACAGGGGTCTATCCATTTCAGCACGGCATCGTAAAGTGTTGCTATTCTACGACGATTACCGGTAAAAGGAAATGCTCGTACGGTACGCCGTCAATAACTACTCACTGATCTTTACTATAAGATTCAATGCTATATTTATAAAGCTGGCCAGAAATTGAAATATTTCCAAAGACCGACGATGTTTTGAGTGAAAACAAAGAGTAGCAATAGTTTATAGATATTTTAAAACAGAAAGTTCGGAAAAAGAACATTAGGAAGAAAGGGTCTCATAGACAACAAGACGTTTAGTTGTCCCGTTTAGCCACTCAGAGCATCTACTATAGCCTATATGTCAATGACACCTACCCGCTTTGTCTTCGTTGAACGGGGCCTGTAGAATTTTGAATAGCTGCTTAAGTATATTCTGTTCACGTAGCAATTTCTGTCGCTCCCGATTAGGTTCATGAACAACCAATTCAAGAGCGTCGCCTTTTTTAGGGTCGTTTTCTTGATTTGCGGTAAAGTAGATAATCTGCGAACACACCTAAAGGTCAATGAGGCACCATGAGGCTCTAAACATGCAAAGCGACGGCACAAGCACAAGACAACAATATAAAGCAAATTGCCCTGTCGCAAAACGATTAAACGCATGCAGGTTGCAATAACGATGCCAGATCTACATCTTTCCAGTGTTACCCGACAAAACCCAATGGTGAATCGATTTAACCCAGCGCAATGAAAACAGGCAACGGAAGTGCACTTTGATTAATTTTCTATAAGGAGAATGGATCGCCAAGTGAAAAAGGCTCAGGGGAATTGGCTTAGTTCCAATTCGACTCATTATTATTATTATTATTGTGAGGTTAATTTTCTTTTTTACGACCGAGCTACTTCCGGCGTTTCCGCAAGCACGTTAAATTAAATCTATATTAACACTTCCAGTCATCGCTAGAGCCGTAATAGCCCACACGCATATATATATATATATATGCGAACGAGTTACAGCCAAAGATGGGTAATGTGTAGCATCAAACGGCCACCGCTGCATTTCAAATTTACTCTAGATTTATGCCACTAGCTAGATACGGAAGTGGTAAGTTATTATTATTTTTTGCTTCCAATAGAGCAAGTATATGTACATACAAAAGAAACAAGAAGAAAGAAAGATAACCAAGAAAAGCAGACAAGAATTACATGACTGTATTGGGTAACACGACGGATTATGTCTAAATCAATGAGGAGGCCATGAAACAACACATGGAGTTCAACCGGACAGAAGAAAAGCCTATAGTGAAATCGAATGATAAACAGAAACGTAGGTATATTAGAGAGTGGAGCTAATTGTCCGTTACGGGAAACAGTGATAACATCAAGTCTTCCCATAGGAATAGTCATGTGACTGCAGACTCTTCTGAGCGTATGGGGCTCAAAGAGTAACTCGGTAAATTCTACGCCGAAAACGCAGCGATAGCCGAATTCAAGACCATGCTCCTAAATATCTTTTATGAGCCTTGACAAAATACCTCTTGTAATAGCTGGGTCGCAGTTTTGCGCTCATTTTGAGCAAAATCAGCACTTTCGATAGCAGTTGCAATTTTCTGTAGAACCTGAAACGGAACATAAGACATACCGTTTAGAATACGTCGGATTATGGAATAAAATCTACTCAGATATTTCTGCCGCATGCAATCCAGCAAATCATTATTACAAACAAACCTTGCAGGCGTCATTGGCAAAATCGAGGTCACGCACTTCAGAAGCCGATACAGGTACGATTGCGAACGCCTCTTTGTCTTCCTGCAACTCAAAATGTTTGGTCTTAGTGTATGACTCTCGTCGATAAGGCCACTGGCAAGTAAAATGTTCGCGGTAAACAAGTTTTGCCTTTTGAGAAAAGGTTCCCTGAGTTAAATCCCGTCATAATTGGCCTCCGTAACTAATGAGATCGATAAGCAATCAGTTAAGAATTCTACCGAGCGTTCGTAAACAAACAATTTTTTAATATTCTTGCCTTAACACAGGCGCACCCGACGCGCATCATGACGGGCTTATCCTCATTCTTGTCAATAGGTATCGTGGTTGAATGAACCCACGACGATGTACTGACATGATGAAGTCGTACATAGGACGATGTCGGTACGAGGCTGTCGCAGCGCGAGAAAGTCGTGGCATCTAGCTCGAAGATCGTCGACGCATCTCGACAATCGCTAACGGCCACAAGCCGATAGAGGTGATTACTCGCTGCACCACGGAGCTTCGCTCGCATCGCATCTGGCGTTTCATCATCATCAATTTCAGCTGCCAGATACTGATGCAAAGAAAGGACAAGCACACGAATAATTCACCGAGTCGGTTAATAAGTCGGATTCGATAATAAGCCGGTTCATGGAAGTTGTCAATGGGTGAGAATGCGTAACTAGTAGTTCTGCAGAAACTATACAACATGAGTCTTTTTCACTCATCTGTATTATATGTAATTATCAAACTGCTATGATCGTTTCCTAAAGGATTTCTATAGCAAACGAGGTTATTAAGGTGTATTATTTCAGCGACAAAAAAGTGTTTTGACCAGCTTACTTGTCCAGTAGCAAGGTGCTTAAACCTGTACAGGCTGGACCAGTGACCTGCGCCTCCTCGGCAGGGATCGTAGTGAACTACTTCCACCTCCCATAGAGCTTTCGAGCTCGTTGCAGCTGCCGCTGTTGTGCGGCCCGTCGTCCTGTTTTGTTGTGCGGAGAAAACAATCCATATACTCCTCGTCTAATCATCAATCGGTACAATAAGCGTACACATGCAATATATATATATATATATATATATATATATATATATATATATGTACTATAACGCTGTGATTTCTTGTACAATGGAGCTATTGACCATACATAGGGTCTTAGATATTGCGTAGAGAATATGGGAGCAGTACCCAGAATGACTAACCAGTTTTTCTTCGTTTATGTATTTAACACAGGTCCAAAGTCTTACCAAACGTTTTTTCCTCGGGGGGAAGCGAGCGGGGATTTACAATTAGTTGCGGATATGCTAGAAACATAAGTGGGCTACCTTCTATTTTCACAGCGCATTGCGCTGCATCGTTGAAGATTAAATATGTGCTTTTTATATAGCAGCAATAATACGACAGTACCTGCGTCATCGGTCGGGCAACAGACGTTTACCTACTTGCAAGTGTATATATTGTTTATAATGTTACCTATGTATAGACGGCGACCTATTTAAACGGCTAGGCCAGCCAGTGCAAAAGTATTCTTTTAGAGTTCAGCGGCCTGTTTTTTTTACCTGCAGCTTTCGTACCGCCAAATGGTGTTTGAAAATTTAGTAACATTTCAGAAAACCGACGTTTTCATTGAATAACGAATGCTTTCTGGAAGCACAGAAAAATTCATGGAATAACCTAAGCATCTTATTTTGTTTTGTTGCTTGTACACTTATTACGGATCTGAATTAAACAAGGCCGACACAATCTGTCCTAATCGTTCCACTTAAATCGGCACCGCTCGTTATGATAAACAAGTTTGTTAATGCAGCTCTTCTGCTAGGGAAATTTAACTTCAGGCCCAATCAATTGTTACCGGTAAATCGGTATATGGAGTGTATCAAAGAAGAAAAGAGTAACTATCCCATTGTAACGTGGAAATAATTGCATTAGTACATAGGATGAACGCAGCCGTAGTAAACAGATAGTTTGTGCTTTTATGGCAAAGGAAACCGAGGCATCTCTCCATCTAATCGAGTGCTTTGTGTTAAAATCAAGTAAACACGTTAAAACGAAGATGGAGCTTTGTTTGTTGCCATTGGCCTCTTACTTTCAGCAGCGCGTGTCAGAAATCGGATTTTAACCATCTAATCCTTCCTTGTTTTGCTAGACTGAACAGATTGAGCACACTGTGGGTGAATGAAACGCTTGTGGTCGCTTGGATCCATATGCGACTCGGCCGTTACCTGACACTGCTTATCAAACCTAAACTCGGAAATCTTCAAGGATTGTCGCGCCCCTATCTAATCACAATAGTGCCCTCTGAAATCCTTCAACGGAGATTATAATGTTGCGAGGCATTAATTTCTTTAATAGCTAGCAAAGTGCCTGTGTTTAAATTGCATCTCTCTCCATAGTGGTGGATGATAGCATTGTGTGTAGAGACATTGCTGCTGCCTGTCCATCTATCGGTAAATATTGAAAACAATAATAAGAAGCCTTCTATAAGCTCTTTAAACAACGTACATCGTTAGCAAGATTGATGTCTTTTATACTGAATGCCAGTATCCAATATCTAAACAAGGAACATACTTCTTCATCTGTTAAACAGCTGTCAAGCGAGCAGTGAACGATGCCTCGAGAAGATAACGGCCAACAACATGAACTTGTTCAAAACATAGATAAGTGAATGATTTAGCGACGTCGAAACCCAGCCAGCCTTGTTAGAGCTATATAACAATAGGAGTAATTAGAATCCGACAAAAAATTACATAAACGTTCATAGAGCTTGATTAATATGGGATTAGGCCACGCTATGAAGATTGCGCCCTAGGTTGGGCACATTGGCATAGGCTACCTCTCCGATGTGTGCTCACCTGAGAAAGACGTATTGTTTCTTTTTGAATTCATCCATAGTGAGGAATTTTTCTTGTTCCGCATGAAACAGTCGCACTACATCGCCCCCTTTTAAAACGTCCTCTATATTCTCTTTGTAGTCCATGAACAGCGAGATCTTCCATGACGTTTGACACACCTCCGACCCAGAAACAGCATTCACCTACATTATTCGTAGTTATTTGTTAAACGCTTTCCCTTACCGAAATGGACAGTATCTTAGGTAGCGAAACTGACTGAACAAAAAGAAAATCTGTTAATGGCTGTTAATTGTCATGCTTGTTCGTATCAGTCAATAATAATTACAGCGTAAAACAAACAGCTAAACTTCTGAGTAATAGTGCACGGGCGCGAATAGATCTGATCGAGCATTCTCAAACCGAATGGTCGTAGACCAACCTTCAAAGGAGAGCAAACAGTACGGACCGAATAGGATAGACAAAAGTAATTTCGGGTTGAGTTTACTTTAGGTAAGTCTTGCCCGACGGAACAATCGCCTGTGTCACCTACCTCTTTGCATCCGGGGTGATCGGGAAGTTCGAAGGAAGACACGTGCAGCGGCTGCGTGGCGTTGACCGCCGTCAAAATAACTTTGTCTCCAACGACTACATTGTCCCCGGCCGTTCTTAGCTTGTAGAAGGGCATTATGTAAAACCATGAGCCTTCGTTTCCGTTCGAGTCCAACATCATCCGCATGGCGTTCTTCTCTAGCAGAGCAGGCAAACGTTTATTCACGGTCAGATACCTAATCGTGAACAGAGTCACAGGCGAACCGCACCGTTTTTCAGAAAGCGCAATAGAATCATATAACAATCATAGATAGAACAAGCTTTTCCATCGTTGCGGAGTGTTGAGTTCCAATATCTCTATGGGCCGTCTATTATTTAATAATTATGGAAAAACAGTAGATTCGTAAAAACAATATCATTCACCACCCTCATGCTGTTCAGTGACATGTGCGATATTTAGTTCCATTGTTTTTTTTCCTTTCACATGCCGGATCTAAACCTAAATGGACATACTCGCACAAGGACCACATTAGCAGGCGCAGCACTACCTAATGAAGCCATAATAGTTGAACAGGCATATATCTGCGAAGGGAGCAAAGGTTGGTCAAACCGTAGATCCGAAATACTTCTCACTTGTTAGATTTCAGATGTAAAAGCTGAATCACTTGTCCGTACTGCACTTTACTACCCTCCATCTTGTTATTTTCAGTTTCGTTCTGTTTCCGCTCCAGGTCCGCTGCGTGCTGCAATGGGAATAAAAGACGCGTGCTTGTTTCTCTATTTTGCAATAGACACGTAGCGCATATGCACGATTAATCGGCACAACACACAAGACTAGCTTGCCGAATACATCTATATAGTTCTTGATGTCCTATTGGACATTGAAATATTCCAAATAGCAAACAGTATTTTATAGCAAAAAAGTGTCTCCTTGCTTAACATTTTACGGAAGTCGCACAAATTATAAGCAAATATATAAAACCATAAGGCACGCGACAATTCCAGCGCACCTATTGTTTTGCGAGAATAAATTTTAATTGAGCAGACGAAAGGATTTAGGACAAACTATGCGACTGCGTCAAACAGTTGAATTCATTAAAATGTATGTCGCAAAAAATGACATTATAAATTAGCGAGTTAATACATTTTAGTCTTAATGAAAGGATATAACGGTTAAAATGACTACACATTGGCCTTGCCGCAACGATTTTTAGCAAAGCTTCTTGCAAAAATTTTCCCCAAGCTCGAAATGGTGGTACTTCGCTTGATCTATCATCCATGCATAGACCCGAAGGTTATCTTACCTTAAGTTTCATAACAAGCAGTGGTTCGGTTTCCTTCGAAGAACTAGAGGACTGTGCCGCCTTCCAAAACTGCTTCTGGGCCGAATACCTAAAGAAGATTAAGCGAAAGGCAATAATGATCATTCGGTAACGTTCCTAATTGACCACACGCATATCCAGATACGCTCAGGCAGCCATATACGACGTGAATAAAATTGGCGTGGCCAAGTCTTCATAATGACGCCACCTGACGTATTAGACAACATTAAAATTAAAGGGCTTTTTATGAAACGAAAGTATAATAGCAGCAAAAAAACGAATTATCGACATCCTCAATGCTATGAGGCCTTTCCTTAGTCTTCGACGGTTCACTAGCTACATTAGAGCTGTCGAAAAAAGGTACGTTACTCCACAAAAAGCTGACAGGCATTATATTTATAACAAGAACATAGTAACAATTACATCATTACAATTGCCATCCTTTCAGCAATACGACTCACCTGTTCATGGGGCACACTTTAAAGCAACAATCACGAAATTTGCGAGGGGGATTCGATAGGTCCCCTGCCGACGGGTTCACTACGCAGCGGTCATCTACCAGACTAAAACATAAGAAAACAAAGGAGAATGTCATTTCTAACAACGACATCTCAACAAAAAAAAAATCGACGGAACACATATATGATAAAAAAAACTGTTCCAAGTTGTTGATAAATGAATACTTTTTAGTAACAGACAGCATGAACCCCAAAAACTAGCGTCGTACAATTTTCGTAAGTTATAAACACATCAATTAAGGTTTATGTAATTTTTACGTTAAGTATCATTTATACACGTTATAACAAATAAAGATCAATGAGAAACAAATTTACGCCTTCATTGTCAACGCAAGATTGCTGATTAGCACATTTGTTTTTTCAATCCGAATTTTCCTCTAAATAGTACTGTAGCATGTTTATTTGTTCACCGAAGGAGATAGGTGGCGTATCGAAAAGATACTACCAAACAAAACCTTTTTTAGCTCGATCAGCATACGCTCTCCGGATAAAACCAATCACTTCAATGATATTACTGGTTGCATCGAAAAACAACGATAACCCTAGCGGGTTCGTCGCCTCGTGATAGCTAACCGAGAATGAATAGCCAAACCCGCCAATTCATTTTTAAAATTTTTGTCGAAGTCCAACTATCCACTACCAAATTTAAAAAAATATCTGCCAGTGATCGCTCTATCCACAATGCTATCAATGGATTCAACGATACGTTTACTGTGGATTTGTAGTATAAGCGCAGGTTGATATGGCGCCATCTACATAAAAAATTCCACAGTGCATCGCGTTTGACCCATAAAAATCTGCACAAAAAAGACGTAGCACGTTCTAAGATTGCAATATGAAAAGCAGGATAAATACGATAGAAAATTGCAGACAGCGAAAGATGACATCTGCGTCGTCGTATCAGACGTCAACGAACTAGAAAATTACTCGTGTTTACCAATGAAGCTTGTAACAGATGGGCTTCAGTGCAACAATATATACCTATTAACTTGCAAAGCGCACAACAATGAGGTCAGTAACGAAACTAACTACGCATGTGGCGCCTTTATACAACTCAATCTAATTAATACCTCGTAGTAACGCCGATCAGAGTTATTTAGGTGGGCATCCAATTTATACTTCTTCATAATAATAATATTTCTATACACTGAATAGTCGACTGAAAGAAGTTTGTAGATCTATAAAACTCTTCTTTTTGAACATCATTTATCGAAATCAGACAGGCATGCAAGTGTACTGGCTACATTTAGAGTCGGGGTAGATAAACATTATGAGGACCTGCCGCAATGCGAAAGCAGTGCGGAAGGCTGTCCTTGAGAAAGCAATACGCTGCAAAACGCTTCGGAGAATTTGTGAAAGATATCCTTCTGCAGAAACAGCAGCGTTAGAACTTCTGCGAATGGTTAATCGTCCGTGGTGCGTTGCATAAGAAGCTAATGCGTACTCGGAAGTGAACGATATCGTAGTTAACTTCAATTAACTTAAATTACTACTTATTCATTCATCATTACATTGCCACTTACCATAAGAGCGTATCTCATAACGTTTGCACTGACAGCTTCTTAACTAGGCTCTACGACAGGCTTGAATAGGAAAGGTAACTTACGGAAACGAACTTTTCAGCAATACCCCAGTTCATGGACATGCGTTCCTCTGTCATCAGATGTAGGCACAAACCAGATTGAAATGCTGCTTGCATAGGCCCAAGGAGAAAAAAGGCTTTGAAATACTGTGCAACAAATAAGCTAACACACATGTATCGCGTATGACACATGTGACATCATATCACATTTAACACTTATTACAGACGAAATTATTTGTATGACAAGCAGCCAGCATGTTTCGTCCACCCACATGCGCATAGTAGACTCTGACCATTGCTTTGTCTGAGGCCTTTTTTACTAACTGCGCTGGATTCTTTATGTCCCCATATCTGAACCCGTAGCGAGTTCAAAGGCAAGAAAGAAAATTACAGGGGCGATGATTGGGGCAGAATACAATACAGTAGCGAACATAAATAAATCTAATAAGTGAGGCTTACTTGCAACAGTTCTTCAAATTTTTTTGAAGTACAGCATCTTGGAAGCTGAAAATTCCGTTCGGATAAGGGATCTAGAACTAAATACGACGTAAAACAAGGGACGCTCTAGTTATGCTGTCTTATGGCGTCTATTACTTATTGGCTTAGTCTAATTTTAAAGCAAAACAATGATCGTATTCAGTATCAATAAATCGAATTTCCAGCCAATTTAATATCATACCCTGTAACAGAGTTGAGATTTGAAAATAAGCGCGAAATCCAAAACGATTTCTAATTATATTTCGTATAAACCTGCAGTATATAAGCATACGTCATTGCGAACACTCGTAACGTATTAGTTTGTCACCAGTAAGTGTTTTTGGGTTCACTGAAATGACTAACAGATAACAGTTGTCAGACACTGCCACTCGCACCGAAAAGTTATGATTATTATTATTATTTTTATCCATCTGTAAACAAAAGAGCTTACAATACATGATCTATTTTAGATAAGCTACGTTTGATGATATATCGAGATTAAGCGTCCTTTTACTTAAGCGTAAATGTAATCGCACACTGGTCACGTCTAGGTCAAGATGTATGGGTCAGACTGTACGTATGGCCGTAACCAGGTCTTGAAAAATATAAAGATCGTAGATCGTTAACTGCTTTTCAGTTTTAGTAAACAAATCTTTTGTTATTCCATCCGCTGCATTAGCGATTCTCCAAAGCAGAACCCTGCCATACATAGACACAGTCTAAATCAGCCTTGCAGTCCTGCCTCACACTTTTTGGCACATCAACCGGTTCGGCCATTTTGGATGATACCGGGATCTGGGTCAATGGGCTCTACCCAGAACGAACTATGGCGGATTGCTCTGCCCAGTACCACAACAACGGCTTCGGTTGACGTGTTCATTTTCCTAAACAGCGAGACAGTATATCTCGGTGGTCTGCTCGGTAGTAGTTCGATCCTACGGGCTCTGATATTACTCACTAATTTCGTGCTCAGGTGCAATCTTAGTCATCCATAGAAGCAAATTTATTATGTCAGTACGGTGTAGGTAAGAGTTTCGAATATTACCTACTAGTTTTCTATGCAAATTGTTCGATATAAAATACTACCGGACTCCTATGGGCTATCGGAAAAAATACCGAAACACAATTCGATCTGGATTATTAGTAAGTACTCGATGTATCGCGCAACTTCATCTATTGGGTCTCATCTCCTATTGACATCACTTCGAAGTAGTTTCACACAGAACAGTTTTAAGCGACCCACACAACGCCAAAACAGACTTTAAAGGGAGCATTTTTTTTCTATTTCCTGTTACTTCAGCATTCAGGGTCTTCGGGAGTTGGTTTGTCAACCCACTTAGTTCGGCCAACGGTTCATTCGTTTTTCTGGTTAAGGGCGTGTTTTAGCGTATATGTCATAACTGAGTCTGTACTATGTAAGACCTACTTGAAATTAAAAAAAAGAGACTCTCCATTGTATAATCGTGTTTTGTTATTTGTTATGAAATTACCCGTAGCTGTTATAATCAGATGTTTCATGATCGTCCCATTCGTCCGCTTCAGGCCGCCTCAGGCCGCCTGAGCCCCGAGCACGTCCAGTTCGTCGAATGCCAATTTTTTTTTTGATGAAGTATAAAAACTACCAATACGCTAGATATGGAATAAATATTTTTCGGATATCTAGTCCTAGGCATCGATGATTCTCATAGACAATTATACGCAATTGCGATTATTGTATGGTGTTTTTGTAAACCTAGTGGTTTACATTAAGGCCAAAATCATTGAATCGAAAAATGAGCACGTTTTAACGTGCCACGTGCGTATGATGAATCAGGCAGAATCTGAACTTTTGGCTAACTTTTAAACGTAATTTGCTGATCAAGTATATAGATGTTTGTAGATTAAAAGATGTGAAGAAATAGTGAAGAGGTAAAAATAAGTTCTTGAGAACAGCGAGATGGGGTTTAATAATGATAATAGCTGAGCAATGGGTTTAAGGTGTGCTGATGTTTTTTCAGTGTTGATCATGTTTATTTGCTAGTTTCATAGTAGAATGTAGTTAACTGGCAGTCAACTTCGAAGCGGTTTTGTGACATTTGACGGCATGCTATCTAGACCTATTCTGGCGTCTTACTATCCTCACCTACAAGAGTCATTTACGTTTTATTTTGAATATCGATGGTTTCAGCTTTTTTCCATCTACATGATTACATAAAAGTATTCACCATAATAGAATAACTTGAGATAAAATTAAATCTACTTTAATGACCCTTTAGTCTTAGATAGACACATTTACCTGAAACAAATCTCGAATGAACTTGCATCTGCTAAAATTCATTTTATTTACTACATTCTTTATTCGTATGTTCGATACGTTGCTGGCTCCCTTCGAAACGAGATTTATTGTTTCCACAAACTTTTTATTTAACTCCTTAATAATGTCTTGCCTGCACCAGTCGCTGAATGGTCAGGGCACTTGCATATGCAAGACGTCTGATCAGCATTACCCCTTTACCTGTTGTCTCACGTCATTTGCTTGTCATAGTCAATATTCTCACTTGTTCTGGTCTTTGATGATAATCTTTATATAATAATGGCAGGTCACGTAAGCGTCTCTAGTATACATATATACATTATATAAGGTAGCGTGGGTTAACTCGAACGCTGTTCGCGCACACACTCCGTTAGTGCCGTTCAACACCCATATGGTTTTCTCACTATGATAAAGCGCCTACAAGCAATCTCTGTCCTCACTGCTGTGCCGAGTCAACTCGTTGCTTCCATTCCAACCCGGTAACGATAAGTTGTCAACCGGTTTACGCCGAACCAACGATAGCCGTAACAGTATTCAGTGAATGAAGTCAGTACCAGGCGAACATGACCATAACGGTTAGTGACATATAGGCCAGTTGGCAGACTTCCAGCTGCAGGCCGGACCGGACCAGCAAAAAGACGGCGGCCGCGACGGCGGCCGCGACAGCGGCAGCATAGCAGAAGATCACCCTCATCCCTCTCACCCTTCCTTTGCGTGTCCTAGAGAGGGCCGCTGTCCTGCGCTCTTTTACTGTCCCTCTTGAAGCGACCAGATAGAAAAGGATGAGTAAACGATGGCAATGCGGGGGAATTCCGCCTCAAAGCAGAACGTTACTTAGACGACAGCAGCAGCAGCAGCAGCATTAAAAAAGATAATTAGACCGCTTCCGTCGATGCCCTAAAAGCATTCACTCGATCTGCCCCTGTATCGCGTCTTGCTTGTGTAGGGATAGCGATAGCAAGTACCAGGGAATTAGCTATCAAGCGTCAGCGATTTGGAGGGCGTGCGTCTGAAGGTGGTTCACATGCTTCCTACTTGAACAACCACTATATCCATACTGCGTACCTCGGTAGCTATAGAACTTCTGGAACGTTTATGTATGACAGTCATAACGTTCACAACAAGAGTTCTCCTTCGATTTCCTCAGACAGAATCCCAGACGGGAGGTTTAAAGCAGCTTCTGCTGCGACCGTTGAACGCGGCGTTGATTATCGCATCTGTCACTTTCGCTACGATCAGTCCTCTTCTAACGTGCTCTGAGGGAGGCGGGATGTAACGAAGGACCCCGTAGATAAACGGTGCGCGTTTAGTATGTTGTAACCCATTGAACGATCGAACTGGATGTGGCACGACAACACGTTCGCAATCTGAATATGACGGAAGCAATCAGATGACTGTCGTCATCAAGTCTTCGGGAGAAACCACAGAACGGACTGAGCGGATGTCTAAAGACATGTCACTCACCTATTGATCCCTGTCACATTATTATTGCGTTAGAGCGGCTTATAATCAGTAGAATACTAGTATCGTATATATTTGATTAGCTACGAATAAAACGATGCAAAGATAGCGAATAATCGTAGCACTTTGTTAGTTAGATTTAAGGCTCAAGGACAAAAGAAGATACACCAAGAACTAACTCAGCCTCCTTAAGAATAAGGCTAGTCGAAAACATAAACGTAGATAAAGTCGACAGCACAATAAAGCGTTATGTGAAAGCATGGCAAAGTACGCGACGGCCCAGGAGTAAAATGCCAAGCCAACCGCCGGAGGTATCAAGGAGTTTCAAGCTCCCGGCTACCTTTTCGAGCGTCAGGAAAAACTTACGTGCAACGATTTATGTAAGGATCAAGGTTTAGAATAGAATTAGGTTCGTTTCACTCGGCTCCTTGCTTTTCTGGCCTCGGTTCTACAGTCACTAGTAGAGACTGCATTGAAATTTCGTCAATGTCTAGGTTCGTTGACCTCCTCCCTAACCCCCCTCCCCCTCCCGCCCCATATGCTACTGAATTGATCAGCATGAGACGAAACAAATGGAACTCCCGCACAGTCCACAATATTTTGTTTCATGAAAGGATCATATATTTTCCGATGCAAACTTTTTAAGAACTATTTAAGAGAGCGTATTTCGCAACTAAAAGCAGTAAAATAGCGTACTTCGTATCAGATCTCAGTACGTAATTTATTAGGGCTATATATATATATATATATATATATATATATATATTACGATACATGTTGTGATCAAACAATCGTCTAACGTTAATGAGTTAACGTTAATCAGATAAACATCTCGAGTTTACCATTAAAAGCAAACAAATAGATTAACGTCGACCTACTTGAGCGTGTTGGTCGGATTGAATTAGATTCGTCTGCTGACTATACTTATTTCCAATAGATATCAACAAACATGCTTGCTGCTCCTTCGGAGACAAAGCCGACCGTAAAACAGTCGCAACGCGCTCTACCTCATCCTTAGAACTATCAGTTATAATAGTATTTAATACTTAGTGTACTGAAGTCAACACCTGAAATTGCTTTCTTTTTTCAGCTAGGTACCAGGGTGCTTCGACGAGGACAAAATTCACATACAGAGTGACTTTCTTGATGGGACATGACCCGAATGACTAAACCTTTGACAGTGCGATCGAAAAGTAAGTTACGCTGTAGGAGCACTTCTTTTTTCGCTTATGTCGCGGTCGGTATGGGCAAGTTTGATAAACCTTAATCGTTGTGAAACTATTTGGCCTAGGCCTTTATATATAAGCGTATTCTGTCACACTGTACGTTGTTAATGTAACATTCGACGATGATCTTTATTACATTACATTTAAATTATGTATTGAGACGTTCTGCTTGAAAATTTACAACTGAATTTACCTGCAGGAAGTTATCTAGGTAGATACATGACCGTTTATTAGACTACAAATTACTTAGTAAGCTGTGCACCCTTTTCAAAAAACAAGACACGGAATTGTACGAAAAACAATATTAAAGTTCACGCACATGCCATCAATGTCAGTGATAAAAAGTGTTAGGTTTCTCAAGATCGCTAACGGTAGAACCAAAGCTCTAGTGGCAAAGACCTTAAGAAGTTCCTGCGACAGGCCGCCCCCATTAACGAGTCGTTGCTGTCCTGTATAACACCGAGGCTACGACAAGGCTTCAGTTATAGGTCTTTTTTGTTTCTCGAGGTAAAGAGAAGGTTCCAGCGAGGTGCATCGAAAAGCACGAATATTACTGTTACTAATAGCATAAAACACACATTTGTTGCGACCAGTTCATTCCCCCTCATCTAGCTTCTACGGTTTTCGCTTCATCCTGATGCATATAATATACGCCGAGCAGCGTAACAGGTTTGGCAAGCGAACTTAAATAATAATAATCACAGTAATCACTGAAAAAATACGTCAGCTCTGATTATGAAATTCTGCAAATAAAACAAGGTCCGTGAGAAGGGTCGGCCGCAGATATGAAGATACGAAGCGTCGGTATATACACAGTCTTGTTGCCACGCCCTCGATCTCAGGCGCACGTTGGTAAGCCGTAGTTGGTAGGTAGCACTGAAAAGTAGAAGAGCTCACTCGTGGAGGCGTGTGGCCTCGCAGCTTCACCCACTTTTCCATTGGATAACTTGCGAACAAGATCGAAAAGAGACTGATGGGTGCGCAACGTCAAGCTACAGTAGACTCGAAAATCGAATTGAAAAAACAGGCCTTGCCTAATCTCAACTTTATTCTACGGCATTCATTTTTTGGCACTACGGCTAATATTTTGTATTAATTAAATATATTTTCTGCCGAGCGTAAAAAAGTTTGGTATATCGGTTGTTGAGTTAACAACACATTGATATACAGGATAGCTGTATGTAAGCGTGAACTCTGCTGCTAATAACAGAAAAACAAACAGAATATAGTACCTTGTGTAAACTTTATTAAGGTCGTACACAATCTATATTGTAATAACGCTAAGAAACGTACGCTGAAAAAGAACAAATTTTTGTTAACCGTTTGATTTACAAGCTAAATAAACTTTAATGGCTTAATATACTCCAAATCATTGGGTTCACATTGTGTGCAATTGAGTTAAGCGAACATATATATGACCTTCATCTCAAGTTCATATCAAGAATGCCCTCAAAATACTATTTCTGAGTGCTCGGAAGGTTAGAAAGTAGCTGACTTTCGATCTACTAGGCGTCACTTAGGACAAAAGTCACGTCTCGGTAAATCTGCCGCTACTTCGTCAGGGAAACAGCAGACTGCTCAAAAACTCATATTGTGTGTCTAAGCTAAGTTAGATTTTGATTCGAAGGCACAATGAGGCATAATTACAAGCAGTGGGACTATTTCAATATTGCCATTTTAGCGAGATGTCGGTTTCGTAAATAAATAAACTACAAACACAGCCCATATTTTTTGTCATAAATGTATACTACACTGTGCATTTCCAGCGGCCAAATAATACCAGCAATAGAAGTAAGACGAGATAACAATTTGAGATCGCAAGTGTTGCCCAGTTTTATTCCGTTGTCCTATTAAGTGACCCGCTTTATTTTGTAACTATATGCACACTAGTAAGCGCCATAAATGATAAGCATTTGTTCGCCGAAACCCATGTGCTGTCATTATTTCGTACCCTTATCGGATCTTACGATATATCTAGGCAAATGGATACAAGCATTCAAGCTACTGAAGCCAATCTGTATAAGCAAAAGAGTCAATATAGGTATAGTACTTGATGTTGATTCCTAACAAGTTTAAGCTTAGTATAATATCAAAACGATCTGTTGAAAATAGTCTACTGTGCAAATTTTGCAGTGAGTGGAACTATCACCACAGTTAATTTTACCGACCTGAATAGGATTAAATAGGATAATTTCATTAAACTAATTAAATCAAAGTATGCATTCACACTTACCCAAGCGTAGAAAGGAATCCGTTGAAGGTTCCTTCCGCAAACAAGGACACCACATCCCCAATGTGAAGCAAGGACGTCGCGGATAGATGGTCCGACATCCTGATAGCAAGCTGTCTTTTTTAGATGGCGTCGCCTACTTTCGGAGGAGATAATACTTCAGGCGAACACTTCAGCTTCCCTTTCATGCTTTTCACAAACGCTGGGTTACGCGGACGTCGCTGGCTTTTCTCGCACGACGTTTCCTTTTTTCATACTTTTGCTTCACTCAATCAGATTTGCTTTTATAGACATGACGAACGACGACTTCACTGACAAACAAGTACGACAAAGAACACGCAGGCAAAAATGTGTGAGATGGGTGTCCGTCAGAGCTCTAGATGGATAGCACGGGTGGGTACAGCTTATTGCAAACTGTGTTATTGCTTGTTTGTGAGAAAGAATGAAAACTCCCCTAAAACACGATCAACAACTTTTGTTGTTTACTTTATACGTTCGATGGATATTATTGATGGTAAGGGCTACTGAACTGCCGGTCTTCGCGTAGTGACTACTGCTGCTGTTAGCTTGATGTTATGAGGAGGATTTGGTCTTCCGGCGGTTTTAACTGTCGGCTTCTGTCCAGTGCTATGAGACAATGCTTGACGCTTAGCGGCGGCTCGGATCTTCAGTAAAACCCGCGTAACTTGATTGCTTCTTCCTGGCTGAGCTGTCGCAAAGTTGAAAGTAATACAGGAAGGCCCACCGAGGGACACTTCCCTGTTGTGACAGCCATTAAAGCCCCGCCGGCTGCCTCATCGTCTAAAATACAAACCAAAGACAACCACATATTATGAACCATATATATATATAACAGATCGCAAGACAAAAGCAATACTCTTGTTGAGTTGAGTCTAACCAAAAGCGATCTGGGAGATCATTTTAATCAGCTTTTGCTGCGGTACGTTCTACTTAAATTATAAGTCGCTCGCATAGAGAATCCATGTTGATGAACAAAGTCATTCATCTTTTGTGCAGTATACGATTTCTACACTGACTACGTTAAGGTTCGTCTCTGACCACATCCAAAACAAAAGATGCATTTTTGAAAATAAATACATATCAGGTTGAAAATGTTTTCTCAGGCTATATAGATATAGCTGTCCTCTGTACTACAAAAATGCTAGTGCATTAAATTTATTAAAAATTAAAGAAATATTGCACGCCGAAATCTATTTATTCAGAACTTTTAATTTAATAATAGACATCTCTCAAGCATTCATCGTTATAACTTTATATTTTCTTTTTTACGACCTGGTCGCTCTTGTCAAGCACCGTTTTCGTGCATCAAGTTTAAGATTAATGATCGACAATTTACTCCGCTTCAGATCTTTCAGTCGTTCCAGAAAATGTTTAGTATTATTGCCGATCACAGATCATTCGACTGGTTTTTGACGAAGGGCACCTTTATTTAGCTAGAGCGGAACATATGAAACCAGCAGAATAAAAAACAGTTGTAGGGTTGCTGTGGCATGCCACAGCTTCTGGAATAAAGGATTGCCGCAAACAGGTGGCTTTCCTTTATATACGCTGTATGTGTTCGAACATATAGAACCGTATGATGATTCATATCGTACGTCCGGTACGGTATCTAGTGTGCTGAACGGAGAAAAGCCTCAGCCGGTATTAAGCAATTTGTAGATTACTTTCATTTGACCCTTCTTTTTCACCTTATATCCGTAAATAAAACAACTACGAGAGTACGGCAGCAATCGCATATGACTTCGCAGCCTGACATCAGAGAAGAGTCAGCCAAGAACTTCACTACTGAAGCATTAACCAAACGGCCGTATATGTATTCATTGAACGCAGAGGCCTCAATGATTATAGACAATAAAGCCGATTTTGGAAGTTACTTGCAGAGGATCGAGTCTCGAACTTCAGGATGTAGTGCTTACAACGAGTCTAAGCAACAAACCCATCTGTCGTCGTCGAACATCTCTATGATAGGCCTTCAGTCCATGCACCGCCAAATAGGGTCGAGGTCCTTACTTAGCGGACCTTTCAGCACCAGTGACCTGTAAAGGCCTCACTCAGCTTCTATAGATAGATTTCGGCTGGCCAATCTTCTTCAATGAAAATTCAGGCATAAGTAAATAAATAAATGACGTTGAATACGCAAAGTAGGTTTACGACTGCAAAGCGCGATGGTAAATTCCACGATCAGACAGTGACGATGGAGGAACTGGTGTTCCTTCAACAATACTCGTTTACCATTCGGTTGTATTTCCGGAAGAATTGAGACAGGGCATGTGGAAATTACAGGCGACTAATAATAAGCTAAGCATAGATAACTGACAATAATCATGGGTATTGATTTTGTTAGAACCATTGAAAAACGCTTATTTTAAACACAGTACCAAAGTGGCAAAAAAAAACTACCTATATCGAACTGTTACCGGGTTCGTATTTCGCACTAACCAATCAAATAATAATAATCTGCATAAAAATGGTAAGAAACTTCGGCAAAGAAGTCACTATTGTTATGACTGTGACTGAAAATGATGTGTACGTATCTAAAAATTGTATGGGATTCTGACTACCTTATACAACAACAAGCTCCTAATAGGGATACGGCCAGCCTTGTGTTCAGGTCTAATAATTAAACATTCACACGCAATAGTTAAAAAGGACTCGGAACGCAAGACGTAAAGACGCCTAACAAAGGTAACGCGCAGTTTTCGAAGCGAGCGCGTGCGTGCTCCCTCTCGTGATATTTAACAACACTCTTCATGCTTCAAGGAGTTACAAATGCTTTAGAATGAAGTAATCTTCGGCCTGTCGTTTTTCAGCCTCGTTGCCAACCCGTGCCTTCTTTTTGACAAACGAAAGAATGCCCGCAATCGATAGGGAACTTGCGCCCGCTAGTAGTTTTGACGAAACGTACTTGACCGAAACTAACATGGAGTCAAATTAGTGTAACGACGGATACGAAACAGATACAGGTAGGAAGATAAGCTGAAATCTGGGTTTATTGGGCCGTATGCGCCCTCCGCCTGATCCAGAACTTCCAACTTAGGCTACGCACCTGCCACGTTCAACAGCGTGATCTGACAGAACAGGGATATGAATGCTGTACATGAACTGAATACGCTTGTAAGTTATACCTCAGTGCTCCATGTGATCCACAGTTTCACTTTGTGCAATTACGTACCATTCCCACAAGGACAAAAAGGGCTATACCAGAACGACGGATATATGTATAATATGCGACGATTGGTTCAGAAAGCTCTATCATGTATTATATATTCATACTGACATGTATACCTGACAGGCGAACCGTAACCAATGCAGACTCTCTCTTTGCCCTGGGTCCACTATCACTACTCCTATTGTCCAGAATGTTGTATGGTTTTGTTCAAATATATTATCGATTACGGAAGCGTACGATTTCTGTTGTTGTGCTCGTGTAACAAGTGCTACGAAGGCAAAAAGCAACGAGTATATACTTTACTTTGTTATTTACCGCCGTTCGAAATAAATTTTTTATAGCATTCCTTCCTTAAACTACGCCGGCTTAAACAGCGCTCCTATAGAGAGCCGCTATTTGTTTATCTAAACCTCAGTTAGACTTGGGAACTTATGCAACGTTTCCCGTGAATCAAATCAAATGGATTATTCGGTTAGAAAGAAGCGATAGAAGATAGACGGCGAGCGAAAAAAAGAACAAGATCTCTGAAAATATTTCTACCTACGGCAACGACGAGCGTCGGCTCAGCTCTGAGAAGCAGAGACATGCAAGCTGTATACTGGAGCTCGCATCTTTTTCAAACAACTAACAGTGCTTATTTTTTGACTTCAAGGAAATACGTGACGTCGATTAGGATCGTTTGTACAGACCAGATCTGTGTCCTTCTTCCTTACACAGCCCTCATCTTTACGATCAGCCTTTTTATATTTGTTGAGAATTATTAGAGAATTCCTTACTCGTATAAAATTGATGATCAGGCTGTCTAATGATATCATGATACGCTAGCAATGGTCGAATGATGTTGCAAGAAATATCTCCTGTCTTGAAATGATAGATTTCTAGATATATAAAATTAGGTCAGATATTATATAGCATGTATCTAGTTTGAACATAAATATGAAATACCAAAGCTTGAATGAGACAACAATGACAGAAAATCATACCCCAAAAAAAAGTAAAGTGTGGGTCATTTAGCTGATTGGATACAAATTAAATTACCGTCGGTACATTTCCCAATAAATGTATTTGCTGAACTAAAGATCTCACCTGTTTGCGGTACAGCCTATTTTGATTCAAAACTATATATATATATATATTTATAGACCATGACCAGCAATATATAACCGTGATTCAATTACTTTCAGTTCACTTATTGACTCAAAGCAACTCATTGGTTATGATACTTGGCGACATCTTCTACTAGAATGAGCCTGACAACGTAAATGTAAAGACCATAGGCCATAGGCTAACTTATCATCTCATGTATAACTCTGTTCAAACACACTATCGTATTTTACCATTTTGTTGTCCACCTTCGTGCAAAATAAGTCAAAAAAAGACCGTAGGGGACTTATCGGTTTAGGCAACCTTTGTTATGCAATCGATAAAGTTTTATACAATGAGTAACCATTTTATAAATGATTTTACATAGCGATACATCACTCCCAAGGCTGGCCACTTTGTAGGCACGTATGCACCAAGCCATCCAAGCGCCCCTTAGGCGCTTACAGCATGTCTACGTAGTCGCCTTTTAGTGCAATACCGCCTATATCGAACCGATAGCCGCTTGTTATCAATGCACACATTGGCCGAGCTTTTTTCTATGATGAACTGATAGCATTGATGCATTGAAATCGTAACAGGTCGAAGAGAAACGGCATGTCACCTATCAAGGCCTGTTTATATAGTCAACGAGCCTCAATTCGCCAAATGTATAAATTACAGCATGTTTTTTGAGGTTGAAGTACTGGATCCAAGGCAAGCGAACGTGGTGGTAAATACTTAGGTTGTCTGCAAATACAAACACTGCCGGTGTTTACTGCTAGGCGTACCTGTCAAAAATACATAAATAGACTCATAACACGGCCAAACAACACTGTGGCCTTTCAAAAATAAGGTACAAGAAGAACTTCAGTTTATATAATAGTGTTCGGGTTCGAATTACCTTCGATCATCGCTGAAATGCTCACGAATTATCTAAATAGCAACAACATAAAACAAGTGATTTCAGATAGTTTGCGTTAACTTGAAAAATAGTTTTCCAAAATTGTATCTTCATCAAGCGTGAGGGTATATATATCTCTCATTATTCTATTTAGTTATTTACCTTCTACTCCGGTCTCGTTGCTATTTTTCTTTATCTGTTACTGTTACTGACACTGATTAGCGTGCCGTAAAAGGACAACCGCAACCGCTTCGAAACCTCAACGACATTCTAGAAATTACGATTACTCTCTCAATACGAGATAACTTCACCCCCGCTTTGAAGTTCAATTCAATACGATTTGAAACAGCAGCGCCATATAGGGCTTGTGTTTGCTACTACTGAGCCTGAGAATTCATCTTGGATTGATATTTAACAAAGAAATATTCAACCTTATTTATAGTCACTCCAAGGCAATATGCCCACGTCAGTTAAAACTAATTAGCAAGCACCACAATAAGTTGTTTATAACTTGCTCTCGCATTACACATTATTGAAAATGACAGAAAACGCAAACAGCATCCCCCTCTGGAAGTATGGAAATCCTAAGAATTATCTTTCCACTCATCCAAGCGCTTCCCCATTAGC